CTAAATGTGATGTTCAATATGATTAGTTATTAAGTCACTGTTAAAAGAAACTACAGATGACATTAATTCTCTGTAATGGCTGAAGCAGCTCAGAATGAGACCAGTCAGCTGGTATGTGGTAACTTTAGAAGGGAAAAATACATTCATTTCCTCCTGCAGTACCTTCCAGGATATTTAGCAAATTCTTCAGGCTGCTAATCCAATCCTCATGCTCCACTTTATTACTCTTCTCACTGCTTTTTAAATTGAAATTTCATCAAAATATTCTGTCCTTTCTTAATGTGTAAACTTGGTAAATCTGGCTCAATACTACATTTATCTAACAATGAAAGCTCACATTTGACCATACTTACTCAGGCACCCCATCATGGACTGTGAAAGTCACCACTAAACCTACAACCCTCAGGTTTGTTAGAGAATGAATAGTTACATTAGAATTTATTTTTTACCTTTTTTTTTTTTTTTTTTTTTTTTTTAATGTTCTCTAGAACTCCAAATGGGACAATTAGATGAGAAAGAGGAAAATCTAGTTGCGTATCTAATTATGTTTGAATTCTTTCACTGAATACAAAAGCAAATTTTCACTACAAGAACTAGTTCACATATGTAGACAAATTCAAGATATACTTTTTTCCCTTTCATTTGTTTCCCTTCCTATTTGCTACCAGTTTAAGGCAGTTGCAGGGTTCTCTTTTACATCCCAACAGCAGTGTTTAGCGCAAGACCTTTCTGTAGAGATTCTAGTAATCAGAAGTGTGATGTAAACAAAGCCCAAATGGGGAAGAGCTTAGTGAAGGACTCCATTGTGAGGTGTGATTGGATCCCAAGACACAAAGAAAGGCTTTTGGAAACGTTCAGGATATTCCAGGAAAACGGCTAAGTTTTATTATATCTCTTTTTTCTTTTTTCTTTTTTTTTTAATAACAGAAGGAATTCTGCTATCTTGTATCATGTTCCAACTCATGAAAACAATCACTTTCTAGTTACATATTTAGGGTAAAATCTTCTAACTTATTTTAGACTACAAATTTGGTTTCTATGACCTTTTAAGAGATACAGCCCAATATCCCCTGAGTGCTTTTGAAAATCTTGTGGTTAATTTAGAAAGAAGTCAGTGGGATGAAGTTCAACAAGACTAAGTACCAGGTTTTGCACTTGGATCATAACTCCATACAGTGCTACAGGCTTGGGGCAGAGTGGCTGGAAAGCTGTGCAGGGGAAAAGGATCTGGAGAGGTTGGTCAGTGCTCAGCTGAAGATGAGCCAGCAGAGTGACCAGCTGGCCAAGAAGGCCTATGGCATCCTGGCTTGTATAAGAAATAATGTAGCCAGAAGGAGTAGGGAGGTGATACTCCCACTGAATGCAGCTCTAGTGATGACACACCTCGAGTATTGTATTGCATTTTCCCATTACAGTAAGTGCACTGTGGTCCTGGGGTGTGTCCAGAGTGGAAAGGACAGTGAAGCTATGATGGGTCTGGAGCACAAGTCTTATGAGGGGTAGCTAATGGAACTGGGATTATTTAGTCTAGAGGGGAGAACTGATTTGTATCTACAACTCCCCGAAAAGAGGTTGTTGTGAGGCAGGTGCTGGCTGCTTCTCCCAGGTAACTGTGATATAACAAGAGGGAATGGTCTCTAGTTGCACCAGGAGAGGTTTAGGCTGGATATTAAGAGAAAGTTCTCCAAAAGAGTGGTCAGATACTGGAACAGTCTGCCCAGTGAGGAGGTGGAGTCATCACCCTGGAGGTGTTCAAGAAACACGTAGATGTAGTACTCTGGGATGTGGTTTAGAGGGCAATATTGGTGGTAGGTAGATGGTTGGACAAGATGATCTTAGGGGCCTTTTCCAACCTTAACATATAATTCTATTCTATAAATCTCCAACTCCTCTCCAGCAGAGGTATTCGTGCTAAATATGTTAAATTGAAATACCAGGTAAGAAAGGGAGATTTGACCTTCCACTAAAGTTGAATGTTAGCTATAAGACAAAAGTAAGGATAAAGCTAAATCTGATTTGCCAACATTTGGGCAAAGCGTAATTATAGAAAAAAGAAATTATTGCCGGAATATATATATATGTATATATAATTATTACTGTTTTAAATATTCCAGAGGCATTCAATTCATCCACTGTATTGAAAGGGATATATAAATACTTATTGGATTTCTCATAGAAAAAAATGCCCATTAAAGCCAGTGCCATTCAGACTCTAAATATCAAACCACACATACTTCAAGCTTTACCAGTGGACTCAGCAAATCGTTCTGTGCATCAGCAGTTACATATTCACAAACATATTCACAAACAATTCACTACATCCTTTCATTAGAGAAATATTTAACTTGCAATTGTCTATAGATCTTTAACAATCATTAAAATACAGGGTCACCAAGCTGAAATAAACTATTAACAGATTGTGAGATTCTCATAGCTCCTAACATATATATAATATGAGATCTGAGAACTACTTCTGCAGTCTTGTCTAAGAATGTTATATTTTATGAATAAAGTTAACTGAGGTGCTTTTCACTTCAAAGGGTTCATTGTTTCAACATCTGCTGGCATTTCGATCATACCTCCAGGACATTTTAGCTGTCAGTACATTTCTGTAAAGTGCATAACAGTACAGCCATGACAATCCTAGAGATGATTTGACAAACTTTTATGAACTTTACAAGCCATAGAAGCTAAAAACATTGTGTTTTCTGCTACATTAGATAAAAACGCCTTACCTTTGGATGGAAGCAGTACAATACACATGAGTAATAAGGAAAGCAAAACACATACAACCACGCCAAATAGTACTTTTAGCCGGGTCTGCAGGACAGAAACAAAAAATTATTACATTTCTAATATTTTCTGAGGTAAACTGTATGGCTGTCTAATTAAATCCTCTCATTCCTTTTAACTGCTGAAATTCATCCAGAAAAAAAAAAAAAAAAAAAAAAAAAAAAAAAAAAAAAAAAAGAAAAAAGCAAAAAATATCTCCACAGTACATTTGAAAAGACTTCCCTTTTTCTTTAAGGCAAATACTTTCACAACAGAGCCCAGCCTTGTACAACAACCGACAGTTTAAAACAACAGACGCAAATATTATTGAAAGCTGAATTCAGCAGCATACAGACCTTCATTTTTCTGCAGTCTTCCTAAAGAACACAAACTTTTTTCTGAGAGCTGGTCAGCGGATCTAGGAGAGGAGTTGGAAAAAGCAGTGTCTGTTTTCACAGTTAGAGCCCAAACCTCTGGCAGACTTTTTTTTCCCTACATACTTTTGTAAACTGTGCCAAATTTCAAAGGGTTTCCATAAAATTAGAAACAGGCTTTCGGGGAAGTTCTCAAAGCAGAAATGGACATTGGGCAGCTATAGTGGTGGTGATTATATACTTCTCACCAATACAAGCTGTAACCAACATCTGGGTTTTATGACTCAACAGTTATTTGATATCTACTTTTTTTCTCTGAAAAGCATCTACAGTGTATTTTGGCAGCCCTCACATTCTCAGGACATATTCATGACCTTATTTCTACTTCCTACTGAGAAATTAAATGAAAATTCAGGCACGTCGTTAATGTTTATCTATAACTCTTTCTTGTTTACTTTCTAAAATAATAAATGATAGCATAAACATTCAAACCAAGAAACATACACAATTTGCTTAACATCTTCCACATATGAAGATAATTACTTTTTTTTTTTTTCCTCAGAAAACAGTAAACTTCCACATAACTGAGCTCAGACATAACTCTGCTGGCCCACAGCATTTCAGAACAGCGCTCAAGCCGCCGACTGTACTTGTTTCATTCAGCTCATTGAAATGAGGTCTCCTGCAAACAGAAAACTGCTGGGACCGCAGCGTCAAGTTACACAAGAGAAGCCTCAGAAGAGTGAAGAAACGCTTGAAAAGAGAAGTACGCTTTGCTCGTAAGACTGGTTTTGTCCAGCTAGTCTCAGTCTCGCCCATCAGCGCTGCTGCGAGGAGAAAAACCTCGCGGCACCGCCTCACAGCGGCTGGCTGCGGGCGGGGGGGCGGAAATAGCAACGGTCAGGCGGCGGCTGCGGGGGAGTAACGGCCGCAAGCAAGGCACGCTGCCCCCTGGTGGCCGCGCGCGCCAGCAGCTGCACATTGTGCCGAGCAGAGGAACGGCAGCTCGAGGCAGCCTGCAGCCACGCGGCACGGCGCTCCCAGCTAAGCTCTGCTTTCTGCTCTGTGCTCCTTCCCAGCACCCTCATGTGACTGGAGGCTCTTAGGCGTGTCTCACAGCTCTAGCAGTCAGCCAGGCTCAGCTCAGCTTGCATCTTGTGGCCACAGCAGCAGCAAGGGGTAATGCCGCCTGCCCCAAAAGACTACAAACTAAAATCATTCCCTCTGGCTTCTCTGAAAACTGAAAATACAGGAGATGAAATAATAGTTTCCTGTTATACTGAGGCATCTAGCAAAGCATGAAATAATGGTTTGCAGAGAAAAAAAGCCCAATGTACTATCATCCAAAAGTAGTCAATACCTCAGCCTAACAGAGTGGGCTGGAATTTGAACCACGACCACGATCATGCTGTCCCTCGTGAGGCAGGGGCTGATCTGGGCCCATCTGGCAGTGTTTTGGCAACAGTCATTGCATTAATCGTGGTGGGCAGTCTGAAAGAAATTCAATTTAGCTGTCTGGAATATGCCCTATTTTCACATAAACTTGTGTTTTCTCGGCTCTTGTCACAACGGTGAAATTATGCAAGAAAATGCTTCTGAATAAGATCCACTCGTCACTGAAATCCAGGAATAAATTTATAGCTAGGTATCACCTTGTTGACATTAGCCATACAAGTAAAAAGGCTGAGAAGACCAAAATAAATTGTTCTTGATCTATTGTATATGAAGGCCAGAACTGAGCTCAGCAAGGATAGTTTCCTAGCAAGATAATACCAGCTGCTCAAAATTTAAAAAAAAAAAAAAAAAAGAGAGAGGATTGTGACAACCAGAACATTGCAAAATTGCAGACATAGGTTTTGCTCAGTTAATAGTTTTTATTTCCTCTAAGGAATAATTTAGAGAATGCCTCAAAGGAAATGACTCAAACTCACAAGATCCAAATGACTTTGCTAAGTGACTATATGCTGCATATTGTGGGTTTTTCTAATTTGGAAGTCAAAATGCACATGCTTCATCAAGATTTACAAACACTGGAGCATTAGAAACAAACCAAAATTTACCCGGCAAAGAATGACCCTCATAAGTTTTGTACAGCTACTGCTCCTGAGACCCTTCTCTGCCATGTTTATACCAGTATACACAAAGAATTAAACGTTAATTCTTTCAGTACTACTCTAAAATATTTATATTTTCCAGATGTGGGAACGGACATTTACAGATGTAGGTTGTGCATGACAGCAGACCAAAAGTAGATAGAATAATGTAAAAAACAACTAAAGCTGAAGCCAAACACACAGCTAAACAAATCCCCGGTGACTAAGTTTTTCTTCTTTCCACATTTATGAACAAATAAAAGCTGTAAGTAGAAAATGCAGTCAGGATTTGTCACACTCCCTGGAGGACTTTGAGTCCATAAAGGCAATAAATGCATAAGCAGCTGGAAGATAAAACACGGCAATTTAGCTTGCTTTTTACAACTTCACGCTTCCTGGATGAGCAATAGAGGCACGTTTTATAATCCCACTCAGAGACAATGATTTGAAATGGAAATCCTTATTCTACAAGCCTGCAGGATTCACCTGAGGTTTGTTATCCATTATGCTGAAATGAGATTGTATCTTTCAGCTTTGGTGACAACCTGGTTGAATCACGCTAAGAATTGGAAGTGTGACAGTAGCACACAAGTGGACTACAAGAAGACTAGACATGTTGAATTCAATTATAAAAGAATGAAGAAACCAAGTTGCATATGCTCCTTCTTGCTTCATTGAAGTATTTAGAGTTCAGAAGATCTACTTAGTACAGAAGCAACAGATCCAGTGATACAGTTTTACCAGGTTTATAAATTTCCTCAAAATGCTGAATAAACTACAGGTATTTGGAAATTATAGATATATGTTACATTTATACTCTAAACATGTCACAAGCGTTTCCTGATTTAAAAGTTTTCTTCAAAGAACTGTGACAATTCATATAAAAAGAAATGCAAAGATTATCTGGATAATTACTTGCCAAGATAAACTCTTCTGATATTTAATTCTTAGAATATTTCATAGCATCTTATTTGTCACATCAGATAATGATCACTTTAACAAAATACATCTTAAGTCCCAATGCTCCATGATCTATCAAACTACAGTATCTTTAAATAGTCAGATTCTCAGATCCATATCTAAAATCAAACCTACAGAATTAAGTAGATTCAAAAGTCACCATAACTTTCAGTAGTAGTCAAAATACCAATATAAGAAAGAGAGTAACTTGCTTACAGGACAATATATGAAGGAAATGTTGGTTTGGTTTCTTTTTGTTTCACTTTTTTTTTTTTTTTTTTTTAAATAAAATCTAACAAATTATGCAACACCAAACAAAGAAATTGGAGATTTTATATTTGTTTTGCACTGCAAAATATTTTAAGCAAGGAATAATATTGTGTAAAGACACACACAATAAAAATATACATAGACTACCAACTCCTTATACTCTGTTTCCCACTGGATTTTCCTGCTTCAGTTGTATCGTTGCAATGTCTTGAAAGTTGCAGTGTCTTGAAAGATCTTAATGTGTATAGCCTCTTAACTTTCAATACATCTGACATGTTTTCCTTTTCTTAGAACAATTTCAACCTATAAGACACAATTTCTGTAGGTTAAGCACAGTGAATCTACAAAACATCTACAGTAAAAACTTATCAGGATGAATATTTGTTTTGTAATACTATAATATGTTTATAAGTAAGTACTTCTCCACAAATTAGCCTGTCAGTTTGATGATGCTTGAAACATGCCACATTTCTGTTAAAAATGAGACACTTCCCCCCTCAAAATAAGGTCAAACATGAAGAAAAAAAAAAAAAAAAAAAAAAAAATCTGGTCCTGATGCACACTTGAAACAAAATCTGATTTTAAATAATTTACAAAGTATTTATATTCCTATTAAGAATGTAGAACAATACAAATCCAGATGTAAGAAGTTTCTTTTTGCTGAGTTATACTCTTTAGCTTAATTGAAACTTCAAAATTTTACCTTGGGCTATTGAAGTGTTTACATGTTCATTCCAGTAAACATACCACTGGGTTTACAGAGCTGACTGTTGTAACAACAAACAGATCTCTCACTCCAATATCTTATGTAAAAGAGAAAAGAAAAATCTGTCAATAAAATAATTACAGTGATGCATTTTGCTATTTTTACAGTCAGAATACCACCATACATTTCTAGGGTGAAACTGTAGTCTTTTTACTGTCATAATAATTACAATGAAACAGACTATACAGCATCAAAGTTGGCAAATGCTATTCATTACAGTCATTTATTGGAAAAAAAACACATTATTGCATAGGCAGTTTAAAGATTGTATGAAACTAACACAAAGAAAGTCACTTGGCATAGTGCTTCATGGACATTAAAATAATCCGTTTCAAGTAAATTTAAGGGCTTGATTTTTTAAAATGTCTTCTAATGAAATTTTACTTCATAAAAATCTATAAGCTTATAGCTAAAGATAAGGTGAAAGACTAAATCATGAAAACACTGAAGAAACAACGACTCAGAAATAACAACCAAGTAATTTGCTCTCTTTACATGGATTCTTTTTAAAGACACTTTATCTTCACAAAGGTTGTAGAAGAAAGTAGAACTGAAACCAATCACCACGGCAAGTCTCAAGAAGTCTGTCTCATGTTCTGTGCTTGAAGACAGGTTACCTAACATGCATTTGAGTGTTGTCAAGCCACACTGGACAGTACTGAGAAGGGAATTTGTTCCATGAATGCACACCACTACAATGCATTTGTTCTTTGTTCTGGAGTATCAGAACAAATTGAAGCAGAGACAGCTACCATGTGACTTTGTCCTTCTTCCTTGGGCCTTTTCTCCTCTTCAAGGCAGTTTTTTAAGGAATTCAGGAGCCTTGATAGGGTTTATGTTTCAGTGTCTATGGTGCAGAACTCTACAAGACAAAGGAGCTTCTAAACAGCAGCCAGTGAAGATTTTGAAGTCTTTATTTTCATTCTGAGTCCTTAATCTTCATCACTTGAAGGACAATGAGTTGCATAATCAAAATTAGGAAACCTGATGGGCAGTTCTCCCCATTTCTTGAAAATCTCCTTTGTTGTTTTCTTGTCTTCAAAAGCAACCACAAAATTTCTAATCTTTAGACAAGGCAGGTCAAGACCTCGATAAACCATCATATTTCCCCAGGCCTGTAAGTATAAGGAAACCATGTTTCAGACACACTATCATTAGACACGCAAAGACAAACACAAACAACATAAAAGTATGAAAAGAATTTGTTCCTCACTTGTCCACAATCTTTACATATAATTTCCACATTTGCCTGGTAATCAGCATGCTTGTCTTGCAAAGTCCTGTTTTCTCTTGTATGGTAAAAAAGTCTGAAAAGCAGTCAGAAAACATGAGTCAGAATACAGTGGTCAATAGTGACAGCTATTACTGAAGTTAGACACGGAAAGTAGAAGCAGTAAACCGTCTGACTGTTGTGCACAGACAGAACCAAAGAAAACAGAAAGTCGTATTACATGCTTTTAAGTAATGGCAACATATAAATGTACTCCATCCCATCTTTTGTAGCATTTTATAGAACCACAGAATCATAGAATCACCAAGGTTGGAAAAGACCTTTAAGATCATCCAGTCCAACCGTCCATGTATCACCAATACTTCTCACTCAGAGAAGTACTCTCTGATACCACTCTCTCAGAGAAGAGGTATTTCCTAATGTACAACCTGAATCTCCCCTGGCACCTGTTTTTTTTTTGTTTTGTTTTTTTTTTTTTTTTTTTTTTTCCCCCCAATATATGAGCACTAATTTCTCAGTAACTCTTCAAAAAGTCTATACAAATTATACCAGTGATATGTCTCAGTGAAAGAACAAATTTGGAAGGCAGTGACTTTGTAGAATAGCTACATAATTAAAAAAGCATGCCTTATTTGTAATGTGTAATGCCCATCATAAAATTACTATGATAAACTGAAATTGAATTAAAACATTTTCTTGGCTTCTTAATTTCCATTATAAGTGAGAAAAGAAAGTCACTTCTTGCCATCCTGGCACTGTCTAATATAAGTAAATGTTTAACAAACTAAATAGTGTGACATCTCTTGCGATGGAAATATAAAAAAGCAAGAACACTAGGAGAGATATGGTAGGTTTGTCACCAGCATGAATATTCTCCTAATGTACAGTTGTCAATGCACAGCTCATGATCAACTTGTTTATGAGTCACTGTCACGGCTCAGACTTTTATCTGGGGTCTGTCAGTGGTATTACTGAAATTAAGATTTGGCAATATTGAAAAAATCTGTTTATTTTTCCCCTCTCCCAGGGCCTGAAGAATTACAGGCCCTGCACAACCTCCCTGAAAACAAAATCCTTTTCCGTCTGAAAGAGACAAACTAGTTCATAAACACTTACTGGAAATCTTTTTTCACACTGACATGATGCATATTTTCAATAACTTGTATATCTTCTCCAGAACATATCAGCTTGTGGCAATTCTTGCACAGGAATGTTATTAGTGAAGGGTTTTTCTTATATGTCTTACGCTGATCTCTCTTTGTCTTCATTTGTTTTTCCATTATACTTTGCAACTGGAAGTCCTGAATCTAGAAACGTACCAGTAAGACAATATTCTAGTGGAACGATCATAACAACCTCATAAATCTAAACACTTATTTCCAGAAATTATAGATCCTTACAAGTAAAATGTATTCTGAAAACTTAATTCAAAATGATATATTCAACAAAAAATAAGCTAATAAGATGTCTTCAAAAGGAAAAAAAGACACCACGTAATAGTAATTCATTTTCTCTTTCAGTTACTTTACTGAATTCATTGACAGCACTTTTAGTGGATTTTCCCAACTTACTTCTTTCATCAACAGAAGGCGCAGAAACAAAGATTGGCGAAATTATTCATATGTAACAGCTAATATAATTTAAATTTTTCTTCCCTTAATAGTAGAAAGTATTCTTTACAGAAGAATTCCTTTGAAAGCCATCAGCCTTCTTTAATGGAAATGTGCAGAGCTGTAGCAGATACCTTGTTCAAATACTCTTCTGGTGGCATCTGCTGGACATGTTGAATGGCCTTATACATCATATTTTCACGGAAAATATTTACATCTTCACGTTCAACAGCTCCTGAGCCACTTGAGGCCACAAGTGCATAAGCGCTCTCATCAGCTCGAGCTCGACCACGGGCCTACAATTTGCAAAGAATGCAGTATAAAAAACACAACATTCCCTGCAACATCAAACAACACTTGTTCCTATTTTGGAACAATGGACAGATACAACAGTCTTATAGCAGTCCTTTATGTAATGACTCCACAGAGCATTTTATTTGTTTTTCCACCTAGCCAGATAAAGAATCAGCCAATACCATACACTGTTTCTCTACTATCATTGAAGATACCTGTGAAATAGTATTCAGAAGATTTGTCATTAGCACAACATTTTGCAAAGCAGAAATCATATTTTGTCACCAAAAAAATAAGCATGCATATAAGTATATCAAACGTATTTACAAATTAAATGAAAACATAGACAAACTGGTATTATGATACGCAGTTATCTCTTTTCAACTGCTGGCAAGACAAACGTCTTTATACATTTCATTTATTATGTGAATTGGAGAGTTGTAGCCATGTGGATGTATCGTCCAGTGGCCATGAAAGCAATGAATTTGATTGATCACAGGCTGGAAATGCACATAAGCTTAGAAGTCCATCTTCTCCACATTACTCAAAGACAGAAAGTTAGTTTCAACCAGGCCTGCCTCTAGTCACATCCTCTTATCTTTTCTACACCAGGCATAAGACAGTTTACTGGTTGCATAAAGCTTTAAATCAATTTTACACTGTTCCACGTGGAGGCAAATTTTATATTATGTACAAATGTAGGTATATGATTCACCATTTGTGTATTCCAAGCAAAAAAGCGCTTTTAAAAATAAGTTAGGTATGCAAAAAACTCCTACCTGCACCATAGCAATTTCATTGGTGACCAGACCATAGCGAATAACAATGTTACACTCTTTGATGTCTAGGCCTTCCTCAGCTACAGTAGTAGCAATAAGTAAGTTTATACTTCCACCTCGGAATTTATCAATGACTTCCCTTTGCTCATTCTGCAATAATAATAAATTCAATAATTCAATAATAATAATAATAATAAATACATCAATATATTAACATTCAGTATTAGTTTCTGACATTAGTTTATTGTAATGAAGAGGCTTAAAGAATTTTAGTTCAATCATTTCAGAGTGTAAACATCAGTGACTTCAAAAACTGTGTTTAAACATCTTTCAAGATCACAAATGAGGAGTTTCTTTTGAATATGATGTGAGCTTGGTGCCATTTGTGACAGAGGAGGGAGAAGAAACAAATCTTTTAAAGGTAACTGAGCTGGGAACGTTGTAGTTGATGATTCCAATTCAAATTTGCTATGAGTTTTGATAATATAGTTCTTTCTTCTATATTTACAAAGTTTCTTAAGTAGTTAATTAGAGGTTCATCTTATTTCATCTTATAGTACAGTCTAAATTCCCCATAACTGCATTCTGTTGCTCTCCATAGGGGGGGGAAAAAAAAAAAAAAAAAAAAAAGCACAGTGGTTATGCTCATAATAGATAAAGTATCCAAAACAAACTTCTGAATTAGCTGACACATTTCAAATAAGCTTGAGCAGAGGAATACAAGCATTCTATGCATCCTATTTGTAAGACAGTCAGTTTCAAAATGTAGAGGCTATTGGATTTATGTAATGTCTAGTGATTAAAGAACAAATTTTTGCAGAAAACAAGCTCATTTTTGAGTTAATAATTCACTTTTTTTAAATTTAAATCTGAAAGGAGATGAAGTAAATGAACACTGCAGTAAACATCCTTTATGCTTAGATGCTGGAGTAGCAATTTTATGGGGTATAAAACACAGAAAAAGTCTTAGCACATTGAGGCGCTTAATTTTGAAAATGTTAAATTATCAGAAAGATGCCTGATGTTAACACAATGGTAAGAGATGGATCAACTGTTAAATTTTCATTGTGAATTTTGGCAAATTTTCTTTCAGAGATTGGCAGGGTGAAGAGCAGATATAAATTTGTATAAACTGATTAAATGATTATGTCAGAAAAAGGCATCATTAACACTGTAGTTCACTTCATTTTTCAATTCAGCCACTAAACTGTAAATTGAATTACTTAACTATCATAGTTCTTCTACTGATATTTTGTTTACTTTTTATTCTTCATATGACTCACTACAAATTGTGACCCTACTGACTACACACACCACTAGGAAACTATTGCCTTTTACTCCTACTGTCACAGAATCCAAGCATCAAAAAACTTGTTTCTAGTGGAAATAAAATTGAAATATTGTTATTCATCTAACCTACAGCCTCTAACTGTAAGATGCTGGCAGATGAGAAAGCAGAACTCTGGGCTCCAAAATGCAGTCCTTTCTACTAGTACTGAAAAAAGAAAGTTTTCTCAAAATACGTGCAAGATTTTAAAACCACAGTGCATATTTCTGTACCTGAGTCATAGGTTTAGTTTCACTATTGTGTCCAGCACCAATAAGGTAATGAGCTTTGATTCCCACTTCTTCAAATTTAGGGTTATCCATAATCCAGTGGTATAGAGCTAAGGCACTTTGTCGAGTCTTCGTGAAAATAATCCCTCTTGATTCTTCAGTCTTTGTAAACTCTTCCATTAAAGTGTTTCGGAGCTTCATTAGCTTCTCATTGTCATATTCTGGCTTTCTAGCCAACTCTTTCAGCTGTTTCTTTTTTGCTTTAAAAGCAGTAGATATGAATTAAGAAAAAGCAACCAAGTAAAATAAAAACTCTAGAAAAGTTCAGCAAGAGCAGCTTTCTATATACTTCTCCCAGCATGACAAATTCACATCCAGTTCAAAGAACTGTGGCATGTTCATTTTTCCATATTCATTAAAAAAACACAACGATCAAAATAAATTACCATTCACTTTTAACATACACCTTGCCTACACCTCGTGTTGAGAATAAGCGAAAGAAAAACTGCTACATACCAAGACTAGTGCAGAATTAACTGTGCTCTACTAAAGAGTTAAATCACAGCTTACCATATTTGCTAAAGTTTAAAAATAACTGAAAAAGTCTTATTTGGAAAAACAGATTAATATGCAGTCATCAGTGCTGATATTTTCCATTTACATTTAGACATAATTTTTCCCTGAAAACTCACAAAAGCAGGAAACCTTTTTGGAAACCTGCAATGTTATATGCACCAGGATTGTTGCATTCTTTTCTTTATTGAAGCTTTTATAGACATTTCAGTGTTTCAATGAAAGGCTTGGTGAATGATTCTCTCACACAGGTATTATTGCTCATGATCAGGGAGGATTCATCACACTTTCTTTTTTTAATTTAAAAATTTTAATATTTAAAAACTTATGGTCAAATGACCTTATAAACACAACAACAGCACTTAAAGACGGAGAAGGAAGGCTTGTGTTGACTCTACAACCACTCGCAGGTTATTGTGTGATTAATCCACCTTGTTGTGTGAAATGGTACTCATGCTGCAGTAAAATCCATTCTCTTTTGCACCACTCAGAAGCCAACCTATCTCCTTATCATTGTAAAGGCAGTAAGAGAAAAAAAAAGAGGCTGCAAAGATTAAAGCACAAAGGATCACAAAAATCCTCATTCCAAGGTGAATAATTGAAAAAAAAAAGGCAACTACTTTTGGCCTGAAATTTAGCCTTCTGTTTAGTTGTCTCAGTTAGAGCTCTACTTGGAACTTCCAGTCTCCTAGTACGTAGTGAAATGTTGTGAAATGTTGGTAGAGAGGGCTATTTAAAAAAAAAAAAAAGAAGAAACAAAAAAGCCACTGGACCTTATTTTTGTTCCATTTGCTGGACAAAGTTTTGTCCCTTAGGAGTATATAATGGAATATACATTCTATCTACCTGTTAGAACATCCTCAGGGACATTTCACTGGAACAAAGGAGAGAACAATTTTTACTTAGAATGAGCATAAAGGAAGTGTCCTTAGGCCAAAACTGAAGAACTTCTACTCCATGTTTGGACATATGGAATCACAGAATGGTTTGGACTGGAAGGGCCCCTAATGACCATCCAGTCCCAACTCACTGCTGTGATCCCACTAGATCAGGCTGCCCAGAGCACCCTCCAAACTGACCTTGAATGTCTGCAGGAATGGTGAATTCACAGTTTCTCTGGGCAATCTGGGCCAGTACTCTCTGAATAAAGAATTTCTTTCTAAAATCTAACCTAACTCTCCCCTCTTTTAGTTTAAAACCATTCCCCCTTATCCTATCACTATCAGACTGTGTAAAATCACACTGATGTTTAATGTACTTCGTACTTTATGAATTGAGACATTCACATATCTTCATGATAAATAACAGTGCAATTTTCTATGAAGTAATAATCAATGGGCACATACAAATCGATTTCTAATATTTAAAATTACCATGTATTTCTAGCTTACCATGAAATAAACCCATTAAAAATTCATCTGTTTCATCCTCTTTTGATACTAGTGGTTCTTCATCATCATCACTCCCTGCTGTCTTCTTCCTTTTTAGCTCCTTGTAAAAGTTATTTAGGTGATTGTATGCATCAACCATTCGAATGGTATCATTGATTTGCAGTGCATCATTATATTTCTTCAAGTGTTCTGCACAGACACGTTCCTTGCGTTTTTCTTCTTTTGCAGCTAAAGGTTAACAAAATATAAAACAACATTTAAAAATTCCAAAAACAGCAGATAAAGCCAAGGTGCTTTCTCTATACACTTACCTTTTCTCTCTTCCCTAATCACCCACTGTTCATATGGCTGTGATCCAAACTCGGATTTTGGATAGAGCTGGCAATATTTTTGAATATCTTGCATGATCTCAATAACTCTTTCTCTAAATGGATCCTACAAAGAAATAGATTACTAAAGGAAGTATTTTCTGGCAAGAATAAACACTGGACCTAGCTATTCTGGCTGATACCAAATTAAAAAAAAACTTAAAACCTAAAATATTAAATTTAGAGCCAAGTAAGGTTGCTGCGTGCATTTACAATCATCAAAAACAATAGTTCAAAACATCATAAAAATTGTGCTGCGAATATTATATTTTTAGCGCATGTAATGTCAAGGTCTTTTGGTCTTCTGAACTATAGAATCAAATATGTAAAACTTTTGTTTCTGTTTCACTTTACTAATACTTTTCCATTCAAATGATGGAAACACATTAAAAAAAAAACCAAAACAAAAAAAAAAACCAACCATATTCAAATAGTGCTACGGACCACAGTAGATCTACAGCAAAACATTGTTAGCAAGAATCACAGAATCACCAACATTGGAAAAGACCCCACAAGATAACCCAGTCCAACCATCCACTCATCACCAATAGCTCTCTCTAAAAAAGAAGAATTTGATATCATTCTTTGAAAGGGAAATGTAATTTCAACAGTAATTTGTTTGATAGAACATACCTTTCTTTTGTTATCTGCAATCACAGTTTTCTTAAATGGATCCTTCACCTGGTTCTTCAGTTGAGAGGCATGCTCTTTAACAGTCATTATTCTGCATGCATCAAGATTGGCACAGATCTGTAAGAAAATAATGTATATTTTTGCTTGGCTTATTTAACATGAAAAATGAGTTAATGCAACATACCTTCTCATTTATATATTGACTTTCTTTTCCAGAATTTTCCGCATTGTTTTCTTATTAGAAAGGCAAACTCTTTGAAGAGAATTTGGGAATGAAAAGCAAGTTGCTTTTACTTTTTAGGCCAGAAGTGATTCTTTTGCATACGAAAATGTTTGCAGATGAGGGTGCAAAGCAGGTAATTTGAAAAGGAAAATATGTCACCAACACTTCAGAAGAAAATACGTTACACTACAAAACAAATAAATAAAAAGAATAAATAGAATGAAAGAAATGTCATGTTGTTATTCTAACAATCTTGACATATATGTAGAAAATAATTTGAAATGATCTTTATTGGAACTGGGAGAAAATTTCTACACTAACTGCACAACTGAAATACATTTTTCAGTATTTGTTCTCTCCGGAGAAGACATGCACATTTAAAGAAATGCTCTTTTTTTTTTTTTTTTCCCCCCCATGAAGAGTTGTCTGGCAGGCAAACGTTACAGTGTTTGGAACAGTAAGTATCTATTTGAACTTGCAAATTCAGATTATGTTTCTTTACACAGAAAAGCCAGCATCTTATCATTAAGATTTCACAGAATCTTTTTTTCCCCCCTTTTCTCCTGGCCTGAAAGTTTTTGTCTCAATATACCTCATAATTACATGTATTTCAATAGAGCATAACAGTTTCTTGCAGGTCTTACCTATTCAGTTTCACATTTTGTTACTGTGCAATTTACTAGTCAGGAATCTTCATTGAAGTACTGTGCAAAATTCTATTTCTGTATCACTAATTTAAATCCACTGATTTTCAAGTTAAATAGTTTCTTTCAGAATCACAGCTGTTTTAGGCACAGAATCTAATCAATTATCTCCAATTGTGTGTTTATGGAACTACATACTATTCCCTCTCAACCAGAAACTCTTAACTGTTGAAAATAAATGAATTTGCTTGCTACCTTCATCTCACAGGTACCTTGTTTTAGCTTGTTTTTAGTAGACAAATTCATTTTTCACTTTCCTGCATCCACATACAAGAAGAGCTTAGTTGCTCTGGAAATATAGATTTAAAATACTGTGACCTCTCTAGGACTTAAAATATGCAGTAAATTTTAATCCAGCAATGGAATTTTATTATTATTATTAATTGATTAATTTTATTATTAATTAAAAAATGTATAGCTGCTTTGTGTATTTCTTGCCTTGAATCTCAAGAGTTTGTTTTTTTTTTTTTTTGAAGGGTGCCAATCCTTTTACTTCTCAATTTATGTAAGCAGTCTTTATCTTTATAGTGATTTCCATTAACTTGTAGTGGGACAATTTGCTGAATGACTTTAAGCTGAATTCCCATGTACACATACACAAAAAAAATTTCAGATTATATATTTGGAGCCCGATGCTATAAAGTTTTATTTTAGCAAAACAACATTTCTTTGGTGATTTGAAAATGAAAGGGCAGTTTACTTTCAGAATATGTTCTTCAGCTTTCGGTTTATTTTTTGCACCGCCGACTCCAGGTGAGGCTGTAAGTCCCAGAATCTGAGGCTGTGGAATCAAAGGTTTGTTTTCTTTTGCCTGCTTTCTGTTCTTGATCTTATCTTTTAAGTAACGTCGCATGATATTGTTGTAAACACCTTCCTTTTGAGTGTGATGGCACTCATCAATAATGATGAGTGAAAAATCTGGGGGAAAAAAACAAAACGAAATAATTTTCTTTCAAATGTAAAATTGTTTGAATAAGTCTTCTTACAGATAAGGACAACATTGAACTGATTGTTTATACGAGTACTAATTGCATTTGAAATATTCTAGTAAGAAGTGGATGGACCTGTGTATATTTAATGAACTTTGGAATCTTTTCTGCACTCTTCATGTGCAAAGTACAACTTCCTTAAACAGTTGTAGAAGACTTCATAAAGCAGCCTGAATGTAGTTAGAATTAACCCTACTAATGTTAGCAAAATGGTAAGATTTTAAAGGATCCAACTTTTATGACAGATTGGCTTCTTTCTTGTGTGTCACTGTATTTCCCAAACTACTTACTACGTATGTATTTCTAGTAATTTTTTCTAAATTCATTTATGGCCCCTGTATGATGTGATTCAATGTTCTACTAAGCTCAGAAACAGCAATCAGTAGAGCCTATTTGCATGATGCTGTACTTGAGCTATATAAAATGGGAAGTACAAGTAAATGCAAAAGTCTAATTTGGCTTGAAAAACCTGCATGCTCATTATCTAAGGTCTGGTTTTGACTCTCAGAGTACAGCTTGCATTTGTACAGTCAACTGAAAAAAAACATTAATTACTGAATCTGGCACACTTTTAATCTGTAGTTTTCCAGAACAGTCATACTTCCAGCCCTTCTGTAAAAATGTCAGAATAAAAAAACTTGCCTGACAAGTGGACACCTTCATCTTCTTCAGTGGCATTTAGCAGTGAATTCTCCAGGATCTGTGCTGTACAAATGATGACATCATTTCTTTTGACAACTTCAGGAAATGAGATTTTCAGCTCAGAATCACCACTTAAACCAATAACTTGATACCAGCATTTCAGGAATGGATTAAACTCCTTTCGTAAATGCTGTTCCACTAACGGCACCTGAGGAAAACAGTTTCCAAAGAATTTAAATCAGAATATATGTAGAACTAAAAATATTTGCTTATTTGCCACAGATGTAAGGTGAGTGTACTCTGTGAAATATCTTTTAAAAAATAAATAAATAAATAAACATCCCCTTATTCGCTACGGAGTAGGATATTAAAAAAAAAAAAAAAAAAAGAGGAGAAATAAACACTAAAAATCCGCAAACCAAGCCCTCCCCTGCAATTGTTCCTATGAAAACTTTCTGACCCAAGAACTTAAGTTTAGCTGTGTCTTAGAAAGAACAAACTATGCATGCTCCAGCTCTTCAGCTGCGCTTATAACATACTGTCAATTCTATTCTCATGGGAGGATATAGATATCTTTTAATCTTTAAAGGAACTTCTTAAATGCATTTATATACTTCAATACCATAATAAGAGAAGTTTGGTTCAGATTATCCACTCTGAATTTAGCTGTAAACATTACAGTAATTATCAGAAAATCTGACAAGATATTACTTAACTAGTGCAGCTCCTTAGATGGCCTTCATTACTAAATCCGAACAGATAATGTGAAAAATACATTTTTAAATGTTATTTTAATTAATCCTAACAATACTTTTTATCAATAATGTAGTTATGAGGACACAGTAAGTGCGTAAATTCCCACTTGCACAGCATTAAATCAAAATAATTAATGTTTGCACCCATACAATGGAGATGACAGTCTAGGGCTGTATGACTTCAAACATAGCTACATCTGCAGAAGTTGGGAAATGTATTTACATTCACTTTAGAAGTTTCTTACTAACAGTGCACAAGGTTTGAAAAATACTGTTTTTGAAGAGACCAACATACCTTATTAACAAGTACTATAACTTTTGCTGGCTCTGATGCTTTTTTCTTCTTATCCAAGTGATCTTTGGTAATGTAAACAGCCACTCTGGTCTTGCCACTGCCTGTAGGGAGACATATTATAATATTCTCCCCATTCAGTGCTGGTTTTGCAACTTCCATCTGGTAATCTCTCAGGGTGAGATCTGGCTCAGGTGAAGCTCTGCCCTCTGCTTCATCTTCACCTAAGGGTACAAAGAAATTTAAATATCAAACAGGAGGCATTTATCAGAACAACAAACAGCTGAAAAATGTCAAAAACATTAATTTACTGTGAGATGCATCTTATGAATAAAGAGAAACGTGGCATATGAGCATAAGAAATGCTGTTCTGTGGACCTGTACAACTCCAGATCAGAACTGCTTCACATCCAGCCATCTATCATGGTAGGTGGAATTAGCCACTGTACATCTTCACTCATGTACATTAATATGTTTCCTATCATGTACGAATTCAAATGATACAATTCAGTACACTGAAAACAAACAAACAAAAAAAGCGTTCAGAGCTGCATTTTTTGTAATACAGGCAATCTTATGTGATGCTCTTATTTAGTTTGTTGCAAGTGAACTAGCTTTCTAAATATTTCCCAGAGGAAGAAAAAAAGAAAAAAAGATGGAGCCTTAGAAAGAAGATATAGGGACTACTTAAAAATTGATGAAGAGAGTCATAAAGTATGAAGATCAAATAGATGAGAAAATTCAATTGCCCATACAAGACAGAGCTAACTGCAGAACATGACCATCTACTCATGGTAGACTGCCCTGCTTCCAGACTCATTCATACAAAATTCAGTCTCAGCTGATCAATAAAAGGCCATGCACATTTACCACCCAAAGGCAAAACCTCCCATCAAAACACAAAATGTAGCAGTAGAGAGTCCAGATTCATCGTTCACAGGTAAAACAAACAACATTCAAAGGTAAAAAAAAAAAAAAGGATAATTTCACATAATTTCAGGCAGCGAGAAAACTGTGTCAGGTCTCTGAGCTTATATATTTTTAGGAAGTCAGAAATCATATATATGAATATAAGAAGCATTTATTTCAATGTAGTCCTGGGCATATTTTCTTTCTACAGGTATGTTTAAATTTGCCTGAATGTGTACCATCCTCAGTGAAGAAGAGACACAAATTCTACTAGACTAAAAATGAAGATAAAACCCTGTGGCTGTATTTCCTGATGATACTAAATGAAGAATCATGGGGCTTTTATTATCACTGATACATCATACACAAAAGAAGTGTTTTTCTAGTACCTCTTATTCCATTCAATAAAATTAAACTAACAAGAAGTAATGAAGCTTGATAAAATATTGATAAAATATTGCTGATGGAAACACCTGAATACCATTCCTAAGTGTTTTTTGCTTGTTTTGCCTTTTAGCGTTGAGTACAGTACTACCTGGAACACAGGGAAATTTACACCAGAGATTACTGGCTGTCACTTATCTGACTTCTACTACTCTCTTTTGAGGAAGAATATTGTTTGCTTTCTGGTTGACTAAATCCAATAGTTCAATCATATTGAAACTAGCACTTTATCACCCATCTGTTTAGTTAAATTTCAGTATCCTAACATCCTCAACTGTCTATGCCTAAAAAATATTTAACTTATCTGCCTCCTACTTTCCTCAATCCCTCTAAAGATAAAGGTAAATACAGAAATCTTTTCAGAAGATATGACTCCATTAAAGAATTTTAATCATGCACAGTACGACTTTAGGGAAGCTGTCTGCCTTCATACAATGCTCATATAAACTGCTGCTCTAGCCTAAAAGAAACATAACAATTATTCTTCTATTGTTCTGATTCCAACACTTTTCTTGAGTGTAAAATGATACTTGCACTATAACTAAAACCACATGATTATTTGCTTTAAAATGCCACATAAGATGCCACATAAATATCTCCATTAATACAAAGCCTCATGGCAAAATTTCAAATTATAAAATGCATAAATATAAAAAATTCCATCTTTATCTTGTTAGCTATTCCTCTCATAGTTTTTAAAATGAGTTTACTAGGCTCCAATAAAAAGCTTTTTTTTTTTAATGTATTTTTTTAAAACCCAAGCATAAGCAAAACAAACAGAAAACAGTAAGTGCAGAAGAAAAAAAATCTGTTCTGCACTCTTCACATAACTGTAGGGATTATTTTTTTTCTACTGAACTACTGGATGTAGCCAACGCCAAATTCACCTAGCAAATTTTCCAGAGAAGTCTTAAAGGATGGTGACATACGTATGTGTGGACACATACCAGTAATCTTTTAAAGCTCGATCAACTGATACTGTGTGTGACCACAAAACACAGCTTTCTGTGTCCTGACATTTCATGTGACACAGTGAGGAAAAAGTCCAACATGAGCAATGACTCACCTCAGCTGACACAAAAATGCGAATTATATTCCTTAGAGCTAACAACATACGGCTAAAACCCTATCTCTAGGATAGCAATTTAGATTTGACATACCTTGAACTTTCTGAGTACTTGTAAAATACATTATTTTTAATATTTAAAATGGTTGAAACTATTTTAAAGCATTTCCAGTAAACACTTTGCAGGCATATGATATATAACAATTACATTGACCTTATTGGACTAGTTTTTTTAGTCAGATTTTGCTTGTCAGGCATACAGATTTTTCTTAATCCTTGTACAAGACACTAACTCAGAACAAACTTTGTAAATGCTAGACTCGAAAAGAAAACTGATACTTGAATTCTGTGTAGGCAAAAACTGATTGTTCATAGTGGTGGCCAGCTGTAAGTGCATTCTGCCTGAGGTGCACTGATTAGGTTGCTTTTACAAATACTTCTACTAAATTGTTTAGGTCCAAAGGTTCATTCTGGTTCTTATAGGTACCTAGGAAATGCTTCTCCTCAACCTATAGATGCCTCTAAAACCTGTCCTATTTATTCTCTTTCACTGCCCCATGCAGGAGCCAGGAACAATTTAGCTTCTGTTAGAACAAAAGAAGCATATATATGCAGCGGTATCTGTACAAACGACCATGCTAGACTACTTCTGGAAGTTCCTTCTAGCCTATGTATTTCCATTCTGCATCACTGACCATTTGTATGACGACAGTACGGCAAAACTTAGAGGATCCCATTAAATTAAGTCTTTGGGTGCCAAAACTTAAGTTCAGACCCATTGAACTGGTACCCGTTTTCCAAAAAAATAAGAAGTTTGGCACTTTCAGTTTGTTGCGGGAGTTCATCTAAAAGTTTCCATCAATTTTTGTTTTAGCCCATTCACAGAGTGCCTGTGCTCCAAGCTTATTTTGCAATCACTGAACAACAGAAAAGAAGCATACCTGAATCACTGGTCGGGCTGTTCTGTCCCAGGTTTTCATTCAAGTTACTGACACTTGCATCTCCTACAGCGCCAAGTGATTCTAAGTAAAAAACAGAAATAAATGTGGTGTGGTATATTTGCTATACAAATATAAATAGCTAATATGTGTGTAATTTGCTCTCTCTCTCACTTGTCAAAATAGGCTAGACAAATGTCTGGAAGGGATGGCTGAGGTCTAATTTCCTTTCTTACTGAAGAAAACATGAAGAAAAATAAAAATCAAAACATTGCAGAAGAAAGGCTCATTACTAAGTGTATTCAGCATTTATTTTTTCCTTGCATGAAAGTAAAGTACATGACCACATATACAATCACGCACAATCATCTGTAGTCCTATGTTCCTTTTCAGAAGAGGGTGAAGAGTTAAAAAAAAAAAAAAAAAAAAAAAGATAACGTGTTGGATAGGACATGCTGGCAATGCTGCTGGCAAACTGAAGACAAACACTCTCTTATTCTATTTACGCTGCACATGTTGCATTTGTAGTAGAAGAAAATCAAATCCAGGACTGTGATCTTTTTTTTAAAAAAAAAAAATATATATATACATATATATATATTTTTTTTAAACAGGTTTTCCTTCATATAACATAAAAAGCAAAAATCATAGGTCTCAAGTAAAGAAAAGCAGAAAGATTATTATTATTTCCTTCAAAAGCAGAGACAAAAATACTGTTAACTTTGCAGAAAACTTCGACACCACCAGAGAAATACAGCAAGTTTTCTGTTGATATTCTAATGTTAAGCTCTCCCTCTGCTGGGCAATCGATATATTGCACAGATAATTTTTTTCAAGCCACAAAGACAATTAATACAGATTTTTGAAAACTCAGTCATTTTAACACCTGAAGAGACAAACTACTCTACTAGAAAAATCTTCCGCACACAAACTTACCCTGCACTGTTTGTCAGCTTACCTGCAGCACTCTGAAACTCAGTTCATAACGTGCATAAGAAATAAAACAGTAATAGCGAACTATTTTTGCAATAGTTGTCATTTTGGGCTGCAAGCACACACATTGCTGGCTCATGCTGAATCATTCATTCACTGACACTCCCAAACACTCCTCCTCACAGCTGCTCTCAAGCCATTTGTGCTTGAGATCACCCCGATCCAGATGCAGGACCTTGCACTTGGCCTTGTTCAATTTCATAAAGTTGGTATGGGCCCACCTCTCAAGCCTGTCCAGGTCTCTCTGGATGGCATCCCTTCCCTCTAGTGCCAAACAGTGTGTCAAATTTACCACACTGCTTGGTGTTGTATGCAAACTTGCTGAGGGAGCAATCGATCCCATTGTCCAAGTCACCTACAAAGATGCTAAGTAACACTGATCCCAACACTGATCCCTTAGAAACACCACTTGTTACTGGTCTCTACTTGGACACTGAACCATTGACTGCAACTCTCCGAGTGCAACCATCTGGCCAATTCTTTATCCAGTGAGTGGTCCATTCAGCAAATCCATTTTTCTCCAATCTGATGACCAGGATGTCATGTGAGATAGTGTCAAATGCTCTGCACAAGTCCAGGTAGATGAGGTCAGTTGCTCTTCCTTTATCCACTGATGCTTTAATTCCATCATAAAGGCCACCAAGTTTGTCAGGCATGACTTGTCCTTGGTGAAGCCATATTGGTTACCACCAATCACCTTGTATTTATTTTCCAACTGCCTCAGTAGGGCCTTCAGGAGGCCTACTCCACGATCATGTCAAGCACAGATGTGAGACTTGACTGGCCTTCAGTTCCTTGGATCTTCTTTTTTTCCTTTCTTGAAAATGGAGGTTATGTTTCCCCTCTTCCAATAAACAGGAACTTCAGACTGCCATGACCTTTCAAATATGATGGATAGTGGCTTGGCAACTTCATCTTACTGTTCTCTCAAAACCTGTGGGTTGAGTTCCATGGACTTGTGCACCTTCAGGTTCTTTAGTCTCAAACCTGATCTTCACTTACAGCAAGCAGATCTACTTTCTGCATCTTCTTACCATTGCTTTCTTAGGCAGTATGGCTAGAACCCATGCCAGTGAAGATTGTGGCAGAGCACCTCAGCTTTCTCCACATCCCTTGTGACCAGGTCTCCAGTTTCCTTCCAGAGTGGGTCCACATCCTTACTGACATTTTTATCAGTGATATGCAAATATATATATTCATTTATTTATAAATACATAGGTATATAAAATAGCTATGAACCATCATCATCCATAGAATGGGCAGAAGTATTAAAGACTTTAAGCATATAAATAAAGAAGCTGGTTTCCCAGAAATCACTGCAATTGAAGGAAAGGCACTTAAAAATATATTCACGGCAGGAACATGATTTAAATAAATATTCCCAATTATTATGTAACAGTATGCATTTAATGTCATCTGAAACGAATGCACTGTCTTATAGAAGGACACAAGAATAGAAATATTCTTTATTCTAGAATAGATATATTCTGTTCCATATAGACAGAAGAAAAATATCATTAATCATAACGCATGTTCCAAGACCTGACACACTACTGAGGAGCATTAACAGGAATTCCAGTGCTGAACATGACACTGTTGTATCTCAACTTTCTAGGAATCCATTCAGTTAGAAAACAGAAGATAGGACTAAAATTATATTTATCTAATCCACGATCTCCTCTCTAACAAGACCTACTGAAAGATGTACATGCAACAGAGAATATGTATTCAAAAAGTATTGAGTGCACAGTTACAATCTGAAGGATGCATTACAAAATCATCTCTCAACATAAAATACTGGTGGTAAAGACAAATGTAGAATATTCATCTTCCAAAGGAAAGGTGAGAGAACATTATGCAATAGCAGTAGCATAGTGTTCCCCTTTTTCAGTTGTGACAATTCTCTTGAAATATTTTAAAAGAAAATAGTAGTCCATTCCAAAACCATGAAAATAGAAGGTGATATTCTAACCCCTGCATTCAGCATTTTCACTAGCTTTCCTTTACAATGCTGCTTATATACTAAAACAATGTAATGCACAGAAAGATTTTCAGTCACTTTGCATTAACAAATAAAAAAGCATACAGACAATGGAATGCAGTGAAGAACATAAACCTATGCAACATTATGTTTTTTTTAGAAAGTCTCTCTTACCTGTCCTGTGCTACCTTATGCCTTAGAATAAGTTTCAAAGACTGAAAAATAGCAGTGATGTACCAAGAATAAACAGCTTAGTAAAACCATTCATACTTTCAAATTAATGAGCAGTTTCTCCATTCTGAAGCATTAAGGGGAACACTTTGTAAGACGTTACCGAAACTGCTGCTTAAAAATCAATCAAGTGGTACCACCTTATAGTAACTCCAAGGTTACTACAAATCAGATTTTCATAGAATTTACTTGTTCCAGTCAACTTCATTTTATGAAACAGGTCTTGAAAAACAGAGCTGTTAATTCTTTAGAATTAAATTCCTTATACTGGTAACAGAAATCTTAGTCTATGTGTTTTCATCTTCAGACCTTGCAAATTTAACTGCTTTTGCACTGTATTTCGTGCATGAAATTTCTTATCTGTGTTTTTGTACATGTAGTTATCTTTCTGAGGCTAAATTACTTATTTCTACATTTTCTTTATAATCTTAATACTCTCATACCTCTCCTTTACTCTCTCTGCCTAATCTACTGCTATAAAAGAGTCAGGGGAAAATTTAGATATAGTGCAAATTGTAATAAAATAAAGTGATTTGAAAAAGCTTCTTCCTGTAGAAATTTGTTCCATCTCAATACAGAGAAGACTGGTGGGAGCATAATGCAAAACACCTGACAACACCAAACTGTAAAGTAAGCAGTCTCCTAGTCATATGCAAAATGGATTAGGGTTTCCAGCTGTATTTTCACCTGCCTGGTCTAGAAATAGTCTTATGAGATTATGAGAGAGGTTGTAAACGAAAAAATAAAGAGGCTTGATTAACACTTCTGTTTGTGTGTACAGGTACATTGAGATTGAAGCATACTGCACTTCAAGATAGCTGAACATCAGCATAAGTTCCTCTACAGCCATCTTCACACAATGCTGTCTCCTAACAGCCCTTCCCATCTTGAATCTACGTGACTGTTTTAGATCAGATCAGAAGTGTAAATTAAAAATCAATCTGTCAATTGTCCATACTTCATATTAGCTGGTTTGGATTGCTAGAAAAACTCCCCTCAGATGAAACCAAATGAGATTGTATTCTAGCCACTTGCAGACATGCAGCCCACACCAGACTGAAATCAATCAAACTGCCAGAATTAACACTGTACATACATCTTTAGCACCCACTATTTCACTGAACAGATCTGTTCAACTTCACAAATTGCTAGTAAAGACATACTCTGCCTATTTAACTTCACTACAATTCATTGAATAAACTATAGCTTTCAGTCTAGAATTAGCTTGTAGTAGGCTACTTAACAGCTAATTGTTCTAGCTAGCTAACAAGAGTCACGCATGGGATCCTGGGTAACCAGATCTAAGGGTGGGTGGAAACCCTGCCCACAGCAAAGGTGTTGGAACTACACAGTCTTTAAGGTCCCTTCTAACCAAACCTTTCTAACTGTTCTGTGATTCTGTGAAAATCTATCTTCAGCAAAGCTACAATTAAAATCCTAGGCCTTGCCTTGAAAGCACCTGACTAAGATTAAGACTTGATACTCAGTCAGATCCATTCTAAATCATTAATAAACATTTGATACCTCTACTTTATAATGCCAAAGTATGTTCTAATACAGGAAAAACAAGCTGATATTTCTGCCGCAGTTAATAGTCCACTACTTGTTATAAATCATAGTGATATGCTGTTACGAGCACACTAAACAAAAAATAAACTACTACTGAAAGGTTGCAGTTTTCAGAGCCAAATTTTTCTTGATGTGTTCATGTTTGACAAAAAAAAAAAAAAAAAAAAAAAAAAAAGAAAAAAAAAAAAGAGCAGCCTTAGCTGTCTTACTCCTTTGGCTGAGTAAGCCCACTAAAATAATTTCAGGCAGGATTTATCTCAGTTTTAACCATTATTTCAGCTGCATCTGAACTTGTAACAGATATGAATGGTTCCTTAATCACACAACATATGTTTGAATCATCAGCTCCCAGTTATATCTGGAAATTGCTGCTGGTTGTTGCTACTGCTTATAATCAACTCCCTAGGCACATTTTTAAAAGTGTATCCATATGAACAACAGGCCACAAAAATTTCTTGGCACACCCTCCTAAGCCAGTCTGTACCATGCCAGCAAATTCATGCTGAACTAGCTCAGTCTAGTTACAGTAGGTAAGGATTTTTTCATACCTTTCTAATTAATACCTTTTAATTAGTTCAAGTATGGCCATGTTTTTGTTCTAGAGCAACCCTATTAAAGTGAAGTGAGCAAATTTAAAGAACTATCCTCCAAAATTAGTGTTGATGACAACTGATAGGAAGAAATGGAAATCACTGCTTCCAAGGAATCAAGATCTGATTTTTCCATTCATTCTCTTTGACAGTAGCGTATGTTCCTGACTTTTTGAGCAAGATGAGAGCTAACGAACTGGGAACATTCTTTAAGTTACTTCCAATAAAATTTAACTACTACCAGCACAAAACACCAATTGGTAGACGTACCTGAAACTACAGAGTTCTTTCCAACAGAAGTTTCTAATACACTGCTCTCTCTCACAAAACTGTCATCCAAATTTTCTAGCTGTTTCAAATCCTCCATTACAGCACGTCCATGTTGGCTTGTATCTTCTGGTTCTTTGCTTGTATTGTTCTTCAACTCATTTTCTTTATTCTCTGTTCCTAGAAAGTAAAAATGAAATTACATGGCTCTATAAAAAAAAGTGTATCTTTTAGTGTGGAGTAGAGAAAATACACAATGGCATGATATATGGCCTTGGCAAAGATGCCAGTTTGGAATTTTTATGTTTTTATAAATGTTTATTAATAAAGTTGTTAGTCATAAATCTCTAATATTTGTGGTCACGGTAAAGACTGGAAAATTGAACTGTGGACTAGCCCTTTTCAATTCCATCAGTTCTATAAGCTCATAAATGAATGTACCTTGGAGCAGGACTTCCGAACTTCCCCATAAAACAGAAAACAGAGAGGTTTCCCAAAATGTCTTCCCATCTTCTATTTCTAAGTCTTATTCCAAATACAGGAAACATTTTTCTATGTCTTCTCTGTTGTTTTATTATTAAAGATATTTAAGAGTAGACATATCCCAAAGGCAAAAAATGCAGTTCAATATACTGTAAATGCTTTTTGTAAAAACTGCAGTTTTTACAAAAAAGAGAGAAAAAAAAAAAAAAAAAAAAAAAAGAGCAAAAAAAAAAGAGCAGCCTTAGCTGTCTTACTCCTTTGGCTGAGTAAGCCCGTTAAAATAATTTCAGGTAGGATTTATCTCACTTTTAATTATTGTTTGAGTTGCATCTGAACTTGTAACAGATATGAATGATTCCTTAATCACGCAATATATCATCAGCTTGAAGTTTGAATCAGTTTGAATCATCAGCTCCCAGTTATATCTGGGAATTGCTGCTGGAGTTGTTGCTACTGCTTATAATCAACTCCCTCGGCACATTTTTGTAAGTGGATCCATATGAACAATTTCTGTTCATATGAAGTTCTGTTTTCTGGACTTAAATTCAATTACTTTGTAATTAGAAATTAAAGAATTTGTTAGACTGATTCTATTCAATTTTTTTTTTTTTTATTTTTTTTTTTTTTTTTTTTTAAATATAGGTGTGAATTTCTGTGTGCAGGTATTTGCTAATAGTAACCTATTATACTGTAACCAATCGTTCCTGTTCAACCAGAAATGCTACACTGTATAAACACAGTTCTCCTTCCAAAGTAGCAAATGAGCCTATCTTGCATGTCTACCTTCTTTGACCTTGTAGCAGTAGAAGCTTCAACAATCATACACTTCACACATCTACAAATGTAGAGGACTGTTTACACAGAACATTACTTATTGACTGGTAAGAACAACACAATTTATAAGTTATGTGTTAATCTGTACAATTCCTTTTAAAACCTGCATTGTCCAAGATTACTGAGAAATTCTAGAAAACGTATTCATTCAGTATTGCATCAAGCAACTGAATTAAATTCAACCTTTACACTACAAAAATCTGCACTACACAGAAAAATCAGAAATGTAAAATTTGGAAATAATTGAAAATAAAACTATAAAGATAAATTTTGTAATTACTGCATTTGACTTTCATCCAGAAGCACCTTCTGAGTCTCTAACTTGGTTGACTTTGTTCTGCTTACTAGACTTTTTGAACACCTTCGAACTGCATGACTGAACATAGCAGCTGCCTATCTGTGCTTCACAGAGGCTGACTCCTGTCCTCAGCTAGAAGAAACATCTTAAAACATAGTTCCACATGCAGCAATAACAACCACAGAAGTTGGTGAGCTTCTGAAGCAAGAAAGCTAAAGCTGTTAAATGTGAAATCTGTTAAAAACGTTAGTCTCAAAGATCTTAAAAAGCTGAGTTTAAAAAGGGAAATTCGGGGACTGCTTATTTTTTTTCCCCATATTTTAGCATCTAGGGGATAATAATTCTTCAACATCGTAATTATTGCATGGGGATATAAAGAAGTAACCAAAAACTTTGTAAAACATGCTACAAAGGAAAAACTAATTCAAATCTTGAAGAAGTCAAGAAAAGAGTTATTTCTTCAAAATAATCATCTGAATATTTATGATCATTATAAAAATACACATTCAGAACCAATAGGCTACAAAAGGTAAGGGTTCAGTTTAATTTTGGTCATACTGTTATAATCATACTATTCTTAATAAGGATTTTTTAGTGTTCAAGAACCTGTTGAGTTAGCCATTAAAAATTTTAATTTGTAATCCTGCAATGAGAGCCTTGTCTTGTTTCCTAACTAATAATTAAAAAAAAAAAAAAAGAGTTTTTTTTTTTTTAAAAAAAAAGTATTCATGGAATAAGAAGGTTACCTCCTGTATTTCCACTTAAATCATCTGCAAGACTTTCATGTTGGGTTTCTCGTAGAGCAACCAAAAACTGAGAGAACCAGTCCTTCTTCTGCACTATTCTGCTCAACAGCTCCCTTGCACCATCTCTGTTCCCACGACTGTCAGTAACAGTCTCAATCTGGTGAAAATAAACAAACAAACAAACCCTAAGACAGGATTTTGTAATAGTTCAATAAGTTAGTACGAATAGTATACATGCATGGGTTGATCTGAAAGTAATGCCTTCTATTTATTTCCACAAAAACTACAACAGATAGAGCACAATAACACTACTTGATACAGCAAATTCTCACTGTTTCAGCATAATCATTTCCATTAGCTCTGCATTTTCACCAGCGCTGAACAAGAACCTGAATGCTGCAGGGGATGAAGGGCGATGTCAGTGGGTGCCATTTTTTCTGCATGGAGGAATTTAATGGAACACCTTTGCTTCATCCACACTTCTACATCAGATGCCATTTTGTCAGTCTTCTCCTCCACATCCATCACACAGCAACAACACGTAATGGAATACTGGTGGGAGGGTTCACCCTCTACTGCCATACCACCAACATCCACCTCCGACACTGAGGGCCGCAATAATAAAATAGGAGGCATTACTTTTGGAGCAGACCTCGTAAAACATGTGACGTGAAATTTAATTTGAGAGACCGGTAATGCTTAAAATTGTTATAGTAATAACTGTTATATAATAATAATTTTTATTTTGCTATGATAATTGTTGTTCGCATATTTTCAAGATTAACCATCTTGGATTAAGGAGAAGTGATGCAACACAGTCTACCAGAACTCAGACCTCATCTCTAACATGACTTCATAAACAAGGTGGAAAGTGTCCCTTCTCAAATACTGAGAAGACAGAACATAATAATACAATATAATAAAATAATAGAGTAGCCTGTTAAAAGTGACTGTTATTCTACAACAAACCACAGAAGAGCACTCCAAGCTTGTGACACACAGAATCGGGCACATTATCACAAGGGGGAAAAAAAAGCAATGCTCCAAAAGCAGAGCTGCCTGGGACAGGTGTTGAGATTTCCAGAAGAATGTCCTTAGGGTTCAACAGTCATCATTCCTGATATGCAAGAAAATGGGCAGGCGGAACAGCTGACCTAAATTTGGCTGAACAGTGTGAAAACCTCTTGAGTTAGACTGAAGGGTGTGAGAACTAGGAGCAGGGAAAAGTAAACAGAAAGCAGCAGCACTGCTGGGGGATATCATTAAGAAATCCTCTGCCCCATCAATGTTGAAACTGGCTGGGTTGTGAAGGGTAATAAAGGAGACTTAAGTAGAAACAAAAGCAGCATAATCAGGGAACATACGCCTTTGTTAAGGAATGGATCCTCAGCCTCCTAAAAGACTGTCTCTGGCACAGTCTGGCCCTTGCTGCTTCCTGATCATCATCAACCAGATGAAATTAAACACGTGACCCTCATTTAACTGAGATGGCGCACTAAACTACTCTACAAATTTACACAAAGCTCAAAAATCATATCGTTCAACCATTAGTTTACCAAGTTTTGCCTTACTGCTATAGCAAATACTACATATTTTCATTTCAGACACCGTTTGGGGGGGACTCCACTGTTTTTGGTTTCAAGGAGGTTTCACAGTAATTCAGGAAAGGCATTCCCAGACAAACAGCCAACACTGGCATATGCTTTCAAAGTTAACCCTTGCTCTTTCTTGCCAAACTGATATTTTTGCCCAGCTTCACAGTCTGCTAATGGGAATGATATTCCTTAGCGAATCTAAAGCAGAAAATAAAGGTGAGGCAGGTCTTGTTTTCAGGTATTCTCTAGGACTTTGCAGAACAAAGGTCTGTGTCAAAATGACAACAGTAAAGCTGACCAGATTCCTTTCACTTACGCACTGGTCTTTCCTTACCTACGGCATTGTCATATCCTGGGTATTAGCTGGCATCCTTACTGCTCCTGGCCTACTGCAAACAGCCTTCACTGGCTTACTTGCAGCTTCTTCACCAAGCTAGCTTATGCACATTCATTTCTGCTCTTGCAAGCCCACCTGTTGCTACTCTCCACTCAACAGCCCCTAGGAGCAGCTGAGCTCTATTGGGCTGCCAGTACGGCTCACCTACCCCAACCAGGTCCTCCTCCTGAAAGATGCCCAGCTCCAGACACTTCGCAGCCACCTGTCTGGTCTGCATGTTATCCACCAGCGTGCCGTGCAGCAGCTGCACCAGGTGCACGCAGAGGTCGTGGTCGTCCTCCTCCCGGGGCGAGGGCAGCTGGCTGGGGTTCACGTAGCAAGCGGCCAGGTCGCAGCCTCCTTTCTTCAGCGCCAGTAGGAACTCAGTGTACCAGCCGCGGTCGCGTGGGCCGCGTTCCACGGCGCGCAGCAGCTCCTCGGCCCCCTCCACCTCTCCGCGCTGCAACGCCGCCGTCCGCACCTTTTCCTTCTCCTCTGCGCTCAGCGAGGGCAGCCAGTCCAGCACCGGCTGCACTCGGATGCAGCGCTTCAGCCGCGGCCTGAAGCAGGAAATCATGTAAAGAAAGCGCTCGTCTAGGCACTCTTCCGACATCGCTGAGCTGTAGACCGGCTCTGCTTCTGCCGGGAGAGGGGGCTGCAGGGGCGGACGAAGGAGCCGGAGTTGCCAGCTCGACGTCGGCTGTTCTCAGGCTGCCCCGTTCCCGGGCACCTAACATGAGCCCCGCTGTGGCTTTCGGTTTCGCTTGTTGTTCGCTGCGCAACGGAAGCCGCGCCCAGCCCAGGGCACGGGGAAGTGCTGTTTCAAATTATTGGAAAGTTGGAACGGGGACTGAGTTTGAAAACAAAACTGACGCGTACCACTCATTTTCCAGAGCGTGCGTCCAGGGCTGCTCGCAGCGCATCCATGATCTCTATACGAGCGGTTCCCATGGGCGCACCGAAGGGAGGGGGAGGAGAGGAGGTAGAGGCTCTGCGAGGAGGGGAAGGTCCGCGTCGGGCTGCAGAACACGCCCTTCTCAGGATACAGCCCCTGTTGTACCTCCGTATGCCTTTATATCACACTTCACTTTACAAAACCCATGTACCAGTCCTGTCCTGTCCCTCAGACTTTTGGGTGCAACCTAAAATGCTGGGGCCAGAACCTGATGGGTTTCCATGAAGAGCACAGCACAGAACGTATCGGGCTGCCTACACAGGCAGCTGTACCAGCAGTAACATAGTGCCCATGAACCAGTATCCGACTTGAACTTAAGCTGCGATTCAAGCTCTGCTAGTGGCTCTAACCAGGCAAAACTGTAGGCTTTAGATATCTTTGTGCAGACGACATCTTTCTTCATAATTTATTTTTCTTCTCCATAACAAATGGACAGTATTCCAGACTTCGGTAATTTTTGCTATATAGATTTGATTCAAATAAAAATAATAAAAAATAAAAATAATAATAAAAAAGATAACTCTGAACATCACTCCCAGCTCCTTACTCCCAGCAGTGGGAGATGGAGGTCAGTGGTTTCATCCTGCAGAGATCGCAAAGTACAGTTTGGAGGTGGCTGCTGTCCTCATGTAAAACAAAATCAATTCACATCAATCTTGCTTCTCTTTCATCCAGCAATACTGCAGAATGCAGATGTTGCAGAAATTCAGTTTTCTCTCCTGTTTGTATTACTGTACAGTCATCTTTCACCAGTTTTCATTTCCCACTTCAGTTGTTTCACTTTCATTTCACTACTGCTGATCTCGGGTTTCGCTCATTGCTGTTCCGTATTACTGCGTTATGGAGTTTCACTTGAACAACTTCCCACTATTTGCTGCCTTCCTTACCTAACTTACCCACAGGGATGTGTTTCTGGCAAGGCCTTGGGACCTGCAGCTGTCACTCAGGTGTGGTTTGTGTAAAAAGATGTTGTGCACATAGCAGTGGTACCTGAGGCACAGCGTGATGATACCAGAGCAGTCCTTGGGTCAGTGACTTTGCAGACATGACAAGGAAGCCTGTACCTTACTTTGGTCAATGCTACCTGATGAAGCAGATACTGCTAGGCTGACCAGTGGCTGATCTCCTGCCCTGCCCTACTCTCCTGTTGCACCCCAGCAGGATACTTGCCCTTCTTGCCCTGCAGTCATTTCCAAGACTCAGATCTGGCTAAAGTCAGTCACGGCCTCTGACAGCAGCACGAGCATCTCCCTGCCCCACGTGGAACACCGCAGCAAGCTCAAAATGCGCGCGTGCAGCTGGGGAGACGGGTCAGAGGCAGAGATGGAAGCACATCGCGCGTTACTACAGCCAAGATGCCGCGCAGCCCCTCTCTGTGGAGCCTGGGCAACTCCGTGCACGCGCCCAACGGCAGTTCTGGTCGATGGCGGCGGCGCGGGCGCCGCCGCGTTGCTACGGTTGCCGCTATTGCGGCGGCTGCGTGTGCTCTGCGGGGAGAGCAGAGCGGGGGCCGTGTGTACAAAGGGGCCCGCGGCTGAGCTTCGCTCCGAGATCCTTAGGCAGCATTGTGAAGCTGATGTCGCGGGCTGCATCCCGCACAGATCAGGAAGTACAGTTTGGAGGTGGCTGTTGCCTTTGTGTAAAACAAGTTGCACCGTTTTTGTAGGTCGTTGTGCCCGGCAGGAGCCTGCAGTGGTCGTGAACAGCGAACTTGTGTGAAAAGAACATTCTAGGAAGGACAAGATGTACGGGGCTGCTCCGAAAGTAATGCCTCCTATTTTATTATTGCGGCCTTCAGCATCAGAGGTGTATGCTGGTGAAAATGCAGAGCTAATGGAAATGACTATGCTGAAACATAATGTTTTGTGGTGGAGAATTTGCTACATCAAATAGTGTTATTGTGCTCTTTGTTGTAGTTTTTGTGGAAATAAATAGAAGGCATTACTTTCAGAGCAGCTTATGCACTATACGTCTGAAGTTGTACTGGCCTTTATAAAGTAGTAGAGTCCTTACAGTGATGATTATACCACAAACACAGCTGTGTCAGATTTGGATGATGTTTGTATTACATGTCCTTGGACAGAAGGAAAGATCATTGTGTGGCTGCAGCACAAGAGATGAGCAGAAATATTCTTTGTTTAGCAACTCGGTGTAAATGCGGTCACTACGGGGCTCGTTGCCTAGTTTTCAGAATGCTGGTGTTTTGTATCTTCCAGATTGCTTAAACACACCAGACCTTTGTGCTTACCTCCTTTGTAAATGTTCATTAAGATTACATCTTTAAACAGCTGTCTGTGTATTTAGACATCTAAACAATTTTTATGATACTTCGAAGTTACCTTGCTAGAATTACAATTAGTCATTGTGAGGAAAGCTCAGATAATAATATTTGTACACAGCTGGAATTGTTGGAGTCTTTAATCTTTAATCCCATCTAAGGCTTTTCCATAGGGAAATCTGGATTTTCTTTTCTTTTTTAAGAGTTCAGCTTAACATCAAAAGCCTTCAATGACTATCTGGATCACTAAAATCACAGTCTGAATAGGCCTAACATGGTAAACCCACTCCGTGGTTTATTGAAAATTCTCTGAAAGAAAATGACAGAATGAACAGAATTGTCTGGCTTAAGGAGAGGCATTTCACCAGGATCAATCATTTCAATCAAAATCATTTGTAAAAATGTGGCCTCAATTGAATAGCAATTGGCAGCTTCCTTATCCACATTTTATAAATGGAAGTTACATTTTGAATTTAGAAGTTAGAAGGGCTATACATGAACATACCTTCCAGTTTTCCTAGAAGATGGTGCCTAGTATGCCGTGTGGAAATTATTGTGCATAGGAATTTCTGAAACAATCTAATCTCGTGTCTCTGTTTTGTGTGCTTCAGGCCAGTGAGCAATATCCTGTGCAATCTCTTGCTTTTCTTTTTATTTCCATAGTGTTATGTTAAATATAATTCCAGAAATTTTTGCTTGGTATTTTCAATGCTGAAACTTGTCTGGCCTTTTGGATCCCTGTTAGTAGTGCTTGTAATGGGGTGACTGAATTCAGTGCCATCACAAATGAAATATTCACATCCTGTTGCTCATGACTGAAATAAATGTAATATGTTTATTTGAGCAGATTTACACTTGTTGCAAATAAATTTTTATGGTGGTATGAAATAATGAATATATATGCAGTTAACAGTTTTCCAGGAGATCTTTTCTGGAAGCAAAATAAAACTTATATTAACTATATTTACAAAATCCTGTTATATAAACAGGATTTGCCTCAGCTCATAATGGTGAAGTATTTCTGTAGATTAAATTTTTGAATTTTTCTATCTTCAATTTTACAATGTTGTGAAGATTCATATAGAAAATGTAAATAATGCATGAGTGGGGCAAATTTGTCCCTTAATGGAGACTTTAGTTTGGCCCATCTAATTTCCATTCCAAAGAGAAGAGCTATGTTCTGTATTCATTAATAATCAAAGAACTTCCCAAGTGAGCATTAAAAAAAATACAAGTAGCTAGATGAAGAAAAATGTTTTTTCATTAATAATGCAGTTCTGTCTACTATTTTTATATATAGATATACAAAGAGAAAACGTAAGCTTGCCATCAGGATGCCTTCATGCAGTTACAAGATTGAGGACATGCTCCTTTACTATCACTGATAAAACTGAGCATAGTGATGATCTGCATATATGATCTATGCTTGGATCTTGTTTATTTTTCTTCCGTTAAACTATTTGCTGGTTAACTTCTATTACAGTCATTTTTTTCCAGCCTAGAAAATAAATTGATGTCTAGAGTAAGTGTAGTATATGTGTGTATTGGTTGCTGCATGACATGAGTAAGTTATCATTCCTAGTTAAGCTTAGAGGAATGCTAGGTTCAGACTAGTGACATGACTTTCTGCATGCTTTTTTTTAATTCCAAGTATGTAAGATGGTACTTAAAAGTTATTTATACCAGTATCTGCACACCAAGTTGTTTTCAGATTTGAAGCAATTTTACAATTTACAATTAATATTTTCATTAAACATTTGATATGAATTTAGAAAGTGAGACCAGATTCCTTGTTATTTGAAGATGGCTGCTAGATACTACAGTTCAAACAAGAGCATCCACCTATATTTTAGTTGTTTTTCATTAGTGATAATGATGTAAGAGATAAATAAACAAATAGGGAACATGGTGTTTATGTTTTCTTTTGTTGTGTGAAAAAAAAAAAAAGAGGAGGAAAAAGAGGAAAAACGATTCAAGAGACTTTATTGAACACAACCGCAACCATTTGGAGCAGCTGCATGTAATGATGCAAGTTTGAATAAAGTGTAACAAAATAACTTTTACTTAAAAAAAAAAAAAAAAAAAAAAAAAAAAGCAAACCAGTAGTCAGCATACTTAGCACTTGGCATACAGGTCTTCCTTATCAAACACATTTTAATGATGTGGTGGTGAGGCAGTGGCACTGGCACAGGCTGCCAGAGGAACCGGTGTGCATGCCCCGTTCCTGAAGGCATTCAAGGCCAGCTTGGGTGGGAATGAATAGCCTGCATGGTAATTCTCATAGCTGGAGTGATTGTCCTGATTTCTTTGATATTTCAGTTATAGTAGCTATTCTTGAGTTTCCTGGATACTTTTCTGTACGTACATGTTATAATTTAAGGGTATTTTTACTCACAAGTTTTAAATGTAAACAGTCAAGATGAGACTTCCTGGGCTCAAGCAAGACCAAATTCACATCTCTTAAAGTTCTGAAAGCATCTATGGATATGTTACAG